TTATGTTTGTACTAAAACACACATGTTGTGATTGTATCATAATTATAGTAATAATTTTTGTGGTTATATTACTGTATTATGTTTGTACTAAAACACACATGTTGTGATTGTATCATAATTATAGTAATAATTTTTGTGGTTATATTACTGTATTATGTTTGTACTGCAACATGCTTGAGTGATTATATCATTATTATAGTGGTACTGTTGAAGTTATACTACTGTATTATGTTTATACTACAACAAGCCTGCAATGTTTATACAATAATTATAGTGTTACTATTGTGGTTATACTAGTGTATTATGTGTGTACTGCAACATGCATGAAGTGCTTATATAATAATTATAGTGTTACTATCGTGGTTATATTAGTGTATTATGTTTGTACTACAAAATGCATGTAGTTATTATATAATAAGTATAGTGGTACTGTCGTGGTTATACTAGTGTATTGCGTTTGTACTATAACATTCATGTAGTGATTGTATCATAATTATAGCGGTAATGTAATGGTTATACTAGTGTACTATGTTTGTACTACAACATGCATGTAGTGAAGGTACCATAAATATAGTGCTACTGTTGTGGTTATACTAGTGTATTATGTTTGTACTACAACATGCATGTAATGATTATATCATAACTATAGTGGTACTATTGTGGTTTCAGAAGTGTATTGAAAGTGAACTACAACATGCATGCTGTGTTTATATCATAATTATAGTATTACTGTCGTGATTTTAGTAGTGTATTATAAGTGTACTACAACATGCATGCTGTGTTTATATCATAATTATAGTGTTACTGTCGTTGTTATACTAGTGTATTGTTACAACAGTGGGGGTAACGTGACGAGTATTCTAGAAGATTCGCTAGTGTGTTGCGACAGCGGGAGTCAATTGACGCTGGTAGCACGTGTCGAGAGTCGTAGAGTTTCTAGAACAGGCAGTATTATCGTATATAAGTGCGCTAGACAGTGAGAGAAAGAGACGGAGTCGAAGCAGTAGTGGAGACAGAGACGTAGCGGAGACGAAGCAGGCAGAGAGCAAGAAAGACAGCGATTACGGTCGGCGGAAACTGAGGATAGCAGACACAGAGATCGGAAGTATAGTTGGCGGGGACGGACAATTAAGTCTAAGCGCGATAGAAAGTGAGTGAATTGTTGTGAACTATAGTGTGTGTGTAACTATGAAAATTAAGTACATTAAAAAGTTATATTGAGGAAG